AAGCTGAGGCCAGACATCAATGCTTACCCCTGTAATCCCACCACTCTGGGAGGTTGAGTAGGGTAGAGTATCTGAGCTCAGGAGTTTGAGACCAGCCTGAGTAAAAGCGAGACCCCCATCTCTATGAAAAATAGAAAGTATAGCTTGGGCCTGGTGGCACATGCCTGTAGTCCCAGCTACTTGAAAGGCTCAGGCAGGCCTCTCAAGCCCAAGAGTGTGAGATATGATCCTACCCAGGGTGCCAGAGTGAGACTCTGTCTAAAAAAAATAGAAAAGAAAAGAAAGGAAAGATGTAAGCTGAAAATAAGGGGTAAGGTAATTAGTGAGTATCTCTGTGAGGTATAACTTTCTGGAAAATATCTGGTGCATTGCAAAGGATTGTTCCTAGCAATTCTAATCTTGTGATTTTATTGAAGTTTAGAATAAGTGTTGACAGTGACCATTTTATATTACACTCTGGCAGTTTAGGCTGTGATTAATTCTTATTCATGGACTTAAACACGGAGGATGGGTCAGTTGCAGTTACCTATGAGGATGGTAAAACTGGTTCTTGCTATCATTATTTTTAATTTTGTGAGTTATTTCTCTTTTGATTGAGATTATTACTTTTTTAATAAGCAATCTGTTCTGTGTCATGAACATAATTTCATCTTTGTCAGGACGTTAATTACAGTGTCTTAACCTTTTCTTCTGTCTCTGATCCCTTAGCTTGCTCTCTTCCTGCCTAATTTGGTCTTGTTCTTTCACACTGGGGCTGTTGACCTTGGGCCTTTTGTCTTGTTCTTTCAGTTGGGGCTGTTGACCTTGGGCTGCCATTCGTATCTGAGTGTGAATTGGCAATTCTGTGTCCTGGAAGGAGGCAGTTGGGCTTCCCCATGGGATGCTCTTGGACCGACTGGCTCTGTCAGTTGCCACTCTGTTCTCTAGGGTGATTTTGTTTTTCTCATCTACCGCACTCCTGCCTGGAGTGGGCTTTGTTTTCCTGCCAGTGTTCAGTGTTCTGCTTTTTGTTTAATTGCTCTCTTTTCATTCTGCAGGCCTGCTCTCCTGTATCTAATTTGGAGCTTCCTGTTACATTTTTACATAGAAAAATCTGTGTGCTAGAGTGGGGTGGGGATAACCCATCCAGGAACCAGCTGGGATCAGTCAGTGTCCTCACTCACACTTTTTTTTTTTTTTTTTTGAGACAGAGTCTCACTGTGTCGCACTGCATGGATTGCTGTGGTGTCACAGCTCACAGCAATCTCAAACTCTTGGGCTTAAGTGATTCTCTTGCCTCAGCCTCCCAAGTAGCTGAGACTACAGGTGCCCTCCACAATACCCGGCTATTTTTTGGTTGTAGTTGTCATTGTTGTTTAGCTGGTCCAGGCTGGATTCAAACCCACCAGCTTTGGTGTGTGTGGCTGGCACCCTAGCCGTTGAGCTACAGGTGCCGAGCTGCTCGCTCACACTTTTAACCATCTTCCCAAGCTTCATCTCTGCCCTCTTAATACCAGACACCTGTAATTTTTGAACTTTTTGTAAGTCCTGTAGCTTAGATCAGTTAGAAAACCTGAGTGGTACCTCTCTGGAGTTATCTGATATCCTGCTGTGTGAGCGGTGCTCATTCCTCCCATTCACTCGCCATTTCTCACAGATGCGTTCACATTTCTTTTCTGCTCTTTTTCTCCATTTTGCTTTAGTCTATGGATTTTACCATTTAAAATATTTTAATGCACATTTTAGTAGTGTTTCACAAGGAAGTGAAATAAACATATAATGTGTAATCTGATGTGCTAAATCTAAACAGCTTGCCCCAGTACATCAGAGTGTCAAGAATCATCTCCAGGCCTTGCTTCTCATGAAAGCTTTCCTGTCTGCCTCTAGATGCTGTTGATGTCACCGTCACTATAAGGAAACAAATGAAACGCCTGCTTTCACTTCCTTGCTGTGTATTTGTTTCTGTAGCCATACAACTAAATTAATATTTTTTTTTCTTATTACTTTATCTTGTTTTTAAAAGTTCAGATCAGGGGCAGCCCCTGTAGCTCAAAGGAGTAGGGTTCTGGCCCCATATCCTGGAGGTGGTGGGTTCAAATCCACCCCTAGTCAAAAACTGCAAAAAAATAAATAAATAAAATAAGTTCAGATCAGTTAAAAAAGAACTACTTGACAATCCCATCCAAAACTTTAAAAAGATCTATCTTTCAATCCTGTTCAGTTTAGTTTACTTATTTTATTTAACGCCTTAGGTTGATTATTACAGGGTAATCTCTAAAGGTCTGTTTTCCTAGAGGCAGTTGGCGTTCTGTGATAGATAAACTCAGATAACCACAAGATAGGACATGGGAGGGGGTGTGCGTTAGGGGGGCAGTCGAGAAGCCAGGCTTGTTCAGTCAGGGGAGACAAACGATGAGAATTCGGTAAGTGGGAAAGCGCCAAGTTTTGTTCATTTTAATTTGATGATATTTACTACCATACTTTCTGTAAAGTCTAGTAGAACATCCACCTGGTGAATGTTTCATTGTGGGCATAGCACAAATGATGAGAATTCAGTAAGAGGGAAAGCTCCCAGTTTTGTTCAGTTTAACTTGATGACATTTGGGGTTTGTGTAAAGTATATCCACCTGGTGAACAAGTTTCATTTTGGGTACAGCAGTTATTTGACTCTGAGGCAGGCCAGTCTGGGTGCGTCCTCCTCGACCTGGTAGCGAGGAGTGCCTGGCCACTTATACATGCTTCCTAAGTGTTTGTCTCAATCATGAATTGGGAAAGCACTTTGGGAACAAACATGTTATTTATTTTTTTGAGACAATCTCATTCTGTCACCCAGGGTTGAGTACCATGTCATTATAGCTCACAGCAACCTCGGACTCTTGGGCTCAAGTGAGCCTCATGCCTCAGCGTCCTGAGTAGGTGGGACTACAGGTACCCACTTCAATGCCCATCTAGTTTTTCATTTGTAGTAGAGACAGAGTCTTGATCTTGCTCAGGCTGGTCTGGAACTCCTGAGTTCAAGGGATCCTCCTGTCTGGAGTGCTAGGATTATAGTTGTGAGCCACCCAGCTTGGCAGGAGCAAATGTTTTCAATACATTGCTGCTTTGTTATGCTTTCTAAAAAATAAACATGAAAGCAAATTATTTGTTTTTACCCCCACATATAGATTTTCCTTGCTGCTGCTTAACTTGGAGGAGTACTACTTTGAACAGCACACAGCTAATCATATTCTGCACAAGGGCCGGCACAATGAAAGGTAAGGAGGGCTGGGATCTCTATGGAGTAACAGACTTTTCTGATAGCCGACATTTTAAAAATTAAGTGTATGATCATGCAGGTTTTTTTTCAGGAAGATGTACTATAGAAACAGAAACTAGTCTTTTCCAAATGTTACCTTATTTTATAACTTTGATTTTGGAACCATATAAATATTTTATAGATTTTTAATGTAGACTTAAATTTTAAAAAGAAACAGTAAGTCCTAAAAGTCAAAGAGAAAATGAAATAAGTAAATTTAGCTATAAAGTTGTCTCCAATTTTATTAATTTTAATCAACTTCATAGCACAGTGGTTTGATGAAAAGGAATTGCAAAGAAGTTGTGAACTTGTCAGTAGTGATAATGTTGTTAATAGTTTAATATTGGCCAAGCAGGGTGGCTCACCTCTGTATTCCTAGCACTCTCAGAGGCCAAGGTGGGTGGATCACCTAAGCGTAAGAGTTTAAGACCAGGGCGGTGCCTGTGGTTCAGTGGGTAGGGTGCTGGCCCCATATACCAAGGGTGGCAGCCAAACTGCAACAAAAAATAGCAGGGCGTTGTGGCGGGTGCCTGTAGTCCCAGCTACTCGGGAGGCTGAGGCCAAGACAATCACCTAAGCCCAGGAGTTGGAGGTTGCTGTGAGCTGTGACGCCACGGCACTCTACCAAGGGTGATAAAGTGAGACTCTGTCTCTAAAAAAAAAAAAAAAAGAATTCAAGATCAACCTGAGCAAGAGTGAGACCCTGTCTCTACTAAAAATAAAGAAGTATCCAGTGTTATGGTGGGCATCTATAGTCCCAGCTACTTGGGAGGCTGAGGCAGGAGGATCTCTTGAGCCCAAGAGTTTGAGGTTGCTGTGAGCTGTGATGCCATGGCAATCTACCCAGGGCACAGAGTTAGACTCTGTCTCAAAAAAATAAAAAATATAATCTTAATAGTAATGTTTTGACGTTAATTTATATACACATGCACATGGATTTATATAGTTGTATAAAACAATTGAATAATTATGTTAACGTCAAGACCAAGATTTTCAGTATAAAAAAATCTAAATATAGACTCAGTGCCTGTGGCTCAAGTGGCTAAGGAGCCAGCCAAATACACCTGAGCTGGCAGGTTCAAATCCAGCCTGGCCCACCAAACAACAATGACGGCTGCAACCAAAAAATAGCCAGGCATTGTGGCAGGTGCTTGTAGTCCCTGCTACTTGGGAGGTGGAGGCAGGAGAATCCTTGAGCCCAGAAGTTGGAGGTTGCTGTGAGCTGTGATGCCACAGCACTCTACCCAGGGTGACAGCTTGAGGCTCTGTCTCAAAAAAAGAAATAAAAATTAAAAAATAAATATAATATTAAGGATAGGCACGGTGGCTCACACCTGGAATCCCAGCACTTTCGGAGGCCGAGGTGGAGGAATCACTTAAGGCCAGGAATTTAAGACCAGCCTGGGCAATATAATGAGATCTTGACTCTGTCTTATAAAAAATAGAAAAATTAGCTAAGCATGATGACACATGCCTGTAGTCTCAGCCACTACAGAGGCTGAGGCAGGAAGTTTACTTGAGGCCAGGAGTTTGAGGCTATTGTGAACTATGACTGTATCAATTCACGCCAGTCTAAGTAACAGAGGAAGACCTAGCTCTAAAATAAATAAATAAATATTAAAGAAGTTAAATAAAGCCTTATACTCTTACATTTGAACTGGAAATGACTATGTAGATTCATGTACTCCCCCCCCCCGCTTTATTGAAGTATAATTAACAAATACAAACTGTATATATGTAAAGTGTACAATGTTGTCTGTGTTGTGAAGTGATTGCCACAATGTAATTAATGTAACCATCAACACACATAGTTACCTTCTTTTTTGTGAGTGTGGATGAGAACATTTAAGATCTGCTTTCTGATCCAATTTCAAGTATACAGGATGGTATTATTAACTAGCCTATAGCTGTACATTGAATCTCCAGGATTGATTCTTCCTGCATAATGGGAAATGTGTGCATTTTGTCCAATGTCTCCCATTTCCTGAACCCAGCATACCCTGGCAAGCACCTTCTACTCTCTGTCTCTATGAATTTAACTCTCTGATTCCACATGAGATCAGGCAGTACTTTTCTTCCGTTCTAGGTTTATTTCACTTAGCATAACGTCCTCCAAGTTCATCCATGTTATCATAAATGATAGGATCTCCTTCTTACCTCAGTCTGAATAATATTCCATTGTGTGTGTGTGGATATGTGTGTAATTTTACATCTTTATATATCCATATACAGAGGGTGCCAAAAAAGGCATACACATTTTTAAGAGATGTTATCTATGTACTACATAGTATGTTTTGAAGTTGAGTTGGATTATGGTAGTAATATGTAGTATAATGCTTGCTCAGAAGATTAATTAAATGAATGCTAGCATCACCCTGCAACAGGCAGGACAGTCAAAGAAAATAGCAGAAGCTTGGCTGTGGTCTGAGGAGCACAAGACCATTTTGAAGGGGTATTTGAAGTCTGAGAGCATTGTGGAAGTAAGACAGTGCAGGTGTGAGGAAGCAGTGGCCCTTGCAACAGGCCTGACAACTGCACAGGTGCATCAGTGTGAGGCGCGCGGGGCTGTGTGTGATGTGCACAAGGAAGGTCTAGGAGGCCTCACAGTGTTGCTCCGGCAGTTGTTTGCTGTAATCAGAAGTGTCTGGATGCTGATGGCAACGACTTTGAACACCTCTTATAATTGCAGAAGTCAAATGTGATTTGTATTCACCTTTTGTTATTGGTGTATGTATTGAATATTATAATTTTAATAGTTTTTTCCTTTCTTAATATATGTGTAAATTTTTTTGGCACCCTTTGTGTATTATATCTTATTTATCTGTTCACCTTTTTTTTTTTTTTGAGACAGAGCCTCAAGCTGTCCCCCTGGATAGAGTGCCATGGCTTCACTGCTCACAGCAACCTCCAACTCCTGGGCTCAAGCGAGTCTCCTGCCTCAGCCTCCCAAGTAGCTGGGACCACAGGCGCCCGCCACAACGCCTGGCTATTTTTTGGTTGCAGCCATTATTGTTGTTTGGCGGGCCCGGGCTGGATTTGAACCCGCCACCTTAGGTGTATATGGCTGGCGCCTTAGCCGCTTGAGCCACAGGTGCCGAGCCTATCTGTTCACCTTTTGATGGACACTTAGCTTGATACTAAATCTTGGCTACTGTGAATAGCCCTGTAGTGAATGTGGGAGTACAGATACATCTTCAACATACTGATTTAGTTTCTTTCGGGTATGTATCCAGAAATGGGATTGCTGGATCATATAGTAGTTCTATTTTTATGTTTGTGAGGAACCTTTATACTGTTGTCCATAATAGAAGGACTGATTTGCATTCCCACCATGCAAGGGTTTTCTTTTTTCCATACCCTCACAACATTTGTTATTTTTTGTCTTTTGATAACAGGTATGAACTGATAGCTCAACTTGATGTCAATTTACTTTCCTTTGATGATGAGGGATGGGGTATCTTTGCATTTGCTTGTTGGCTGTTCTTATTTCTCTTTTTGAGAAATGTCTGTTCAGGTGCTTTGCCCATTCGTAATAGGCAGTTTGTTCCCTTACTGTTGAGCTGTTTGAGTTCTTTATATATTTTGGATATTGGCTCCATAGTTTCCAAATCTTTTCTCCCATTCTGTAGGTTGTGTCTTCACTCTGTGGATTTTTTCTTTTTTCTGCAGAAGCTTTTTAGTTTGATGCAGTCCAATATGTCTACTTTTGCTGTGTTGCCTGTGCTTTGGGATCATAACCAAAAAATCATTAACTAGCTCAAGGTCAAGAAGCTTTTTTCCTCTTTTTTCTTTTAGCAGTTTTATAGTTTCTGGACTTATACTTAAGTGTTTAATCCATATTAAGCTATTATTATATATGGGATGAGATAAAGGTACAGTTTCATTCTTTTTTAGGATTTTCTCTCTCCGTTTTTTTTTTCCCCCACTGAGACAGAATCTTGCTCTTTCACAGAGGTTAGAGTACAATGGCATCAATATAGTTCACTGCAGCCTCAAACTATTGGGCTCAAGCGATCCTCCTACTTCAGCCTCCCAAGTAACTGGGACTATAGGGGTGCACCAACATTCCCAGCTAATTTTTTTTAATATTTTGTAGAGATGGAGCCTCACTTTTGTTCAGGCTTGTCTCCAACAATCCTCCTGCTTCACCCTCCCACAGTGCTGGGATTACATGGATAAACAATCGATTATGGCCAGCCAAGGATTCTCTTTATATAAAATCATGTTGTTTGCAAACAGAACCAGTTTTTCTTCCCTTCCAGGTTGGATGTCTTTCATTTCTTTTTCTTGCCTAATTGCTCAAGGTCATATTCTCAATACTGTGTTGCACAGCAGGGGCAAGAGTGGGTACCCTTGTATTGCTCCTGTGCATTCTTCTCTCTAAATGAAAGTATTTCTTTTTCTGTTGTTGTTGTTGCAGTTGTCATTGTTGGTTTCTCTGGCCTGGGCCAGGTTTGAACCCCCCAGCCTCGGTGCATGGGGCTGGCACTGTGCTAAGAGCGCAGAGCCTAAATTAAAGTATTTCTTACCTCTGTCTTTGGAAGAGGCCTAGAAACAAGTCAGTAGCAATCAGCACTGAGAATTTGGTCTCCAACTACCACTTCCCCGTAAAAAGATAAGGCTTTTTGACAAATGTCTGATTCTAAGGCGAGAGATGTGTGAGATGAGCCTGGGACATCCTGTCATACAGGCAAATAAGGACAACATCAAAGACGGTTGTGAAGAAATTAAAAAGGACCGGGCCAACCTGGAGGGGTTAACCCTGGACCAAAACCAGGAGAAATTAAGTGTCAGAAAAGAATAATATCTGCAGTGGATTGAAATATATCAAAAATATTAAAACCCATGAGAGCATAACAATATATCCCTGTGCATATGTAACTGACAAGCATAGTCAGTTACATTCTCAGGGTGGGAGGACACCAACTCATTTTTCAGAAATTTGATAAATAAAACTAAGAAGCCTTTTCCCTATATTCTTTGTGCAGATGGTACTTCAGGGTAACCAAATTACTTTGTTAACAAATTCTAGGTAATAAACAAAGAAGGAATGATAAAATTTAAACCCTAATAAAAGAATGGATCTACAGCAGGAGTTGTCAAACAACATCCCTTGGCCAAATCTGAGCTGGCACTTCTTTTTGTAAATAAAGTTTTACTGGGACACAGCCAAGCCCATTTGTTGACATATTATGTGTGGCTGCTTTCCCCTACAACAGGAGAGTGGAATAGTTGAGACAGAGACCATATGAGCCATAAAACCAAAAACATTTACTATCTGGCTCTTCACAGAAAAAGTTTGTCAACCATGGATCTAGGCAGTGATCTTCGATGGCTGCTAAAGCCATTAGGTGAGAAGCTGCTGAGTGTAGTAGGGCTGTAGGCAGAGTGAATAGCATGTGTGAAGTAAAAGGTAGAGAGGAAGAATGAAAGTCATGAGTAGATCATTTAATTAACATAACACACATTTTGGCAACAAGATGAAGAGGTAGTCTCAGTTCAAATTTAAAAAAGGCCTATGGAAAGCCAGGCAGCCATGGGCATATGTGTAAACAAGGAAGCGTAAGAGATTTCTTTGGTAGAGAAAGATTGGCGGGGTTAGGAGGGTGCGGGGAGTAGGAAGGCAGAAGCCTGGAGAGCAATTAGGCTCCTTGAAGAATATGAGTAAAATAACCTCTTCACTTAAGGCAGGGAGTCACAAGAACCCTGGGATGGCAGAGTAGAAGCATCCATCAGGACCCCGAGGGATGACTAGAGAATAAATCCAAAGTCATTCAAGCTATTTTAAAGAACTTAGAATCTTTAAAGTTCTGCTTGTAAATAAGATATACTTTTGGAAACCAGTCTTAAGTGATTTTTTGTAAGATAATATTTCAGCATCTCTTAACCTGTGTTCTGATCACATAATAAAGCTATCACCTTTGATCATTGGTAAAAGACATCCAGTCAATTAAAAAAGAAAATGTATAGTTTTTTTAAAAACAATGAACAGCGTTTTTTGTTGGCTTTTTTTGAGACTGAGCCTCAAGCTATCCCCCTGGGTAGAGTGCTGTGACATCACAGCTCACAACAACCTCCAACTCCTGGGCTCAAGCTATTCTCCTGCCTCCACCTCCCAAGTAGCTGGGATTACAGGCTCCTATCACAATGCCTGGCTATTTTTTGGTTGTAGCCGTCATTGTTGTTTGTCAGGCCAGGCTGAATTCAAAACCTCCAGCTCAGGTGTATGTGGCTGGCACCTTAGCTGCTTGAGCAACAGGCAACGAGCCATGAACAAGGTTTTGTTTTGTTTTGTTTTTTGGAATTTTTTTTTTTTTTGAGACACAGTCTCACTTTGTCACCCTTGGTAGAGTTCTGTGGCATCACAGCTCACAGCAACCTCAAACTCTTGGGCTTAAGTGATTCTCTTACCTCAGCTTCCCAAGTAGCTGGGACTACAGGCTCCCGCCACAATGGCCGGCTATTTTTTGGTTGTAGCTGTCATTGTTGCTTCACAGACCCAGGCTGATTTCAAACCCGCCAGCTCCAGTGTATGTGGCTGGTGCCCTAGGATTTTTTTTTTTTTTTAAGTGTATGTATTTTTATAAGCTTCCAGGTGATGTATATTGGTCTAAAGTAGCAGTTGCCTCTAAGATGTTCAGGTAGGTTTCTTTTCAAAACCCAGTGAAGCTATATAAATGTTCCAAGAAAAAATAAACTGGTAAAGCTTATAACATATTTATTTGATATTATCATTGTAGCCTGGTAGTCTTCAAAATTGCTCATGATCATGAAACAAATTTTTCCCTAAATTTCTAAATATATCCAAAAATCACTGTTAAGAGCATTTTATGTGCTAAATCAAACTATTATTATTTTTTCCGTGATTATATACATAAGAAAAAGCTCCCTTTCCCTAATCAGTTTTAGATCTTTGATATTACCTTCTGAATGGTTCTTATATAGGGAATTAAAAGCCAACAGAATTTATAGAATAGATTCAGCATTTATCTTAGTTCCCTTTTCAGAACAGTAGGGAGGACCAAAGGAGGTAATTAAAATTCATGAGGTGGCTCGGCACCTGTGGCTCAAATGGCTAAGGCGCCAGTCACATACACCTAAGGTGGCAGGTTCGAATCCCCAGCCCGGACCCGCCAAACAACTATGATGGCTGCAACCAAAAAATAGCCGGGCGTTGTGGCGGGCGCCTGTGGTCCCAGCTACTTGGGAGGCGGAGGCAGGAGACTCGCTTGAGCCCAGGAGTTGGAGGTTGCTGTGAGCTGTGATGCCACGGCACTCTACCCAGGGGGATAGCTTGAGGCTCTGTCTAAAAAAAAAAAAAAAATGCATGAGGTATGCTCAGCAGGTCAAATTACAATTACAACCTACGCAGATTTCTCTAATGTCTATGGAAGAGGCAGTAGGGGGAAATATTTTTGTTACTTTTTTCAACTTTTTATACTCTTCCCTGTAATTGTGGTGTTGATCTTTTATTAGTTGTATTTTAGTAATCTACTTCCCAGTTAAATTGTATTGTGATTCTTCTGTGACTTTTGTTATGTTTATTGAATAATATTTTGTACTTTGATCCCTAGGAAAATCAGAGGCTCCTTAAAAATATGTTCAAAATCAGTGATTTTTGAACCAGATGCAATATCCCAGCCCATCATTAAGGTAAACACATTTTAAATCTGAACAAAGATGTTCCTATTTTTGTGTGATTTTACTTTTCCTTATTTTTATAATATTTTCTCTTAATATTATCCAGATTCCTTTGAGAGATTGTATAAAAATTGGAAAACATGGAGAAAATGGAGCCAATAGACATTTTGCAAAGTATGTAATCTTCACAAACTGTTTAATTTTACTTCATCAAAAAAAAAAAACTGTGTGTAATGATTTTTATCTGTATTTTAGGGCAAAATCTGGGGAGATTTCACTCATTTTTAGTCAGGTAAGAAGTAAGTAGTAAATATTTTTTTTAGACTGTGAATGCGCATACATACTATATATATATATATTTTTTTTAGTATGATGAAATTTGTTTGTAGAACTATCAAATGACGACCATTGCAATAGATACTTAAAAGAGTTTAGAAATATTTTTCTGAAGATGGGCTCCCTCAGGGAATCCTTACTGTCTGCCAAGGCTATGGTATCTGTGTGCTTGCACTTCCATCCTCAGGAGCTGTGACAGTGTGTGAGGGTTGGGATAGAGTGTGGCAGTGTCTCCCTTCAGACTACGGGTGGTTTCAGGGAGGCAGGACAACCAAGGCAAAGACTCAGGTTGGGTAGTTTTGTGTCTTCATTACTCTTGGGGTCATGACCTTTCATTCATTCACAATCTATAATGTGAACATTTATATATATATATACCTCTACTGCTCTCAGCACAGGGGCACAGCGCAGCACTGGCATCACAGGACCAATGCAAACATGGTTTTTCTGCTGTCTTATCACCAATTAGTGTATAGATGTTTTAGTAATTATAAATAAGGAGGGAGTAGAGGTCTTCCACCACCTTCTTTTGGGTCTGGATTTTAGTTTCTTCATCTTTAAAACAAAGGAGTTAGCGATGTAGCCTTGACTCACTGCAGAACACTCGCTCCTTGTTAAATGGTTCAGGGAAGTGCAGGAGAAGCTGTGGGAGACAAAGGATAGCACAGATTCCTTTCTTTTTCTTTTTTTTGTAGAGACAGAGTCTCACTTTATCGCCCTTGGTAGAGTGCTGTGACGTCACACAGATCACAGCAATCTCCAACTCCTGGGTGTAGGCGATTCTCTTGCCTCAGCCTCCCAAGTAGCTGGGACAACAGGCACCTGCCACAATGCCCAGCTATTTTTTTGTTGCAGTTTGGTTGGGACTGACTTTGAACCTGCCACCCTTGGTGTATGGGGCCGGTGCTCTACCCACTGAGCCACAGATGCCGCCCGCACAGATTTCTTGACTGAGGACTCATCTCAAAGCCTCTGCCGTGGCTGTGCATGGACAGTCTCCAGGGGGTGGCTGGGGAGAGAAGGGAGCGCTTATTAGCACTATCTAGATCACCACACTCTTGTGTTTTTTTTTGTTTTTTTCTGAGACAGAGCCTCAAGCTGTCCCCCTGGGTAGAGTGCCGTGGCTTTACAGCTCACAGCAACTTCCAACTCCTGGGCTCAAGCGAGTCTCCTG